GAGGGGGGCGGGCGGGGTACCACAACGGGCCTGTCCTGGACGCACCTCGGGCGGCACCTCCAGCACCAGGGCCCAGGCACGCGCGCACGGCCACGGCCCATGAGGCAGCCACCCGCGACGCGCGCCCCCGTGCCCCCCACCTGCGCCCGCGGCGCTCGGGGCGCGCGGGTCCACTTACCTTTGCACACGGGGGCTGGGCTGTCCGCCGAGCCTAGCCTGTCCTCGCCAACGGCACGACGCCTGGGACTGTCAGCCCGACAAACACACGACAACACACACTTTCTCTCGGATTCTCTGTTCGACGCGACTCGCAGCGACTCTGACACGGGCGGCTGCCTTTCGTCCCGTCCGTCCCTCTCCGTACAACTGGCAACGTCGATCCAAGATGGCGGCCGCGGAGCCAGGCCCTAGGCAGCTCCTAGTGCCCCTCCGCGCCGTGGGGGTGTGGGGGCGCTGGTGGCGCGCGAGTGCGCACGCGGGGAGGGCCGCCCCCGGACGGGAAGGGTGCCTGCCCCGCCGCCCGCCGCCCCGCCGCCGCCCCGCCCCTGAGGCCACGCCACGAGGGCCGCGGGCCACGGGGTGTGGTGGGGGTGGGGGCCGGGGTGATGGCGAGGGTGGGGCGGGCCGGGCGCTGCCCCAGCCACTTCTATGACTAATTCGTCAAGTCATTTGAAGACGACAATGAAGGGTGGTAGGCGGGAGCGCGGAAGCAGGAGGAGGTGGAGGAGGGTGCGAGTAAAGTGCCTTAGACTCCAGCTACTCCAGGCAGCAGGCGATGTAAAGCCAGAGAGCCGCCAGTAGGCCGCTCGAAGCCCTATGCGGGCCGGGGCGGACGGGGTGAGCGGGCGAAGCGACAGACTTCAGAGAGAGAGAAAGAAGCTCAGTAGAGCGTCCACACCGCGCCACGGGCGGGAGAGAAATAGCCGCTGGCGGGGGATCGGGAAGGGGAGAGAGGGCGGGGCCGGGGCGCAGAACTGCGGGAGTGCGGGGTGTGCGCGGGGGAGCGACAAGGATGGGGCGACAGGCGCCGCGCGGAAGCTAGGCACGTCGCCCTGCGGGCGGGGAACAAGCATTGGGTGGGTCGTGGGTGGGCTGGTGGTGGTGGCCCAGAGGGTGGACAGGAGGGACCCGGGTGGGCTGGTGTCGGCGCAAGCGTGGTCATAGCTGCACATAGCTCGATCTCTCCCACTCTCTGTCTAATTTACCACCGCTCCGTAATTTGCTCAGATAATGTAAGCGAAACCGGAATCTGGCTCATTTGCATTTCCCGCAATCAGAACGGAATAACAGGCACTGCTTTGAAGGGGAGCCGGTGTCTAACGGCCTGGGCTGCGCTCGCTGCGTCCGCTGGGCCCTCCGTCCGGTCCCTGACCGCGGGTCAATGAGTACGGGCCTCCAGGGCGTACCGAGCCCCGCACCCCATCCGCACCCGCCCGGGCCCCACGGTTGCGGTAGGCATGCAGCGGAGCAGTACGTGAGGCTGGGGTCCTCGCGCTGTCTCCGAATCGTTCTCATCCCCTCGCCGACGTCGAAAGTGGCTGGGGCGGCTAGGCCACCGCCGCCGCTGCTCCAAACGTGGCCGCCCCTGCCGTCCGCGGGAGGACGAGTCCCTGCCCCCTCCGCCCCCTCCCCTCCCGCCCGGGCCCGTGCGATGCTCGTATTGATTTCTAGCCCCGCGGGGCCGGGCGGGACCCGCCGAGTCCATTCATGCCCTTCTGGCTGAGAACAACGGGCCCCGGACAAACGGGCCAGGAGGGGCGGGGGGCGGGCTCCAGCCACTACATTATGGAAAAAAGGGTCATCCGATGCTGCGGTGGCATCAAGCGGGGACGGATGGAGCGGGGCGGGGGCGCCTCGACTGTGTGTCACCCCTCCCTCCAGGATGTGTGCCCGGGTGCTCGGAGCGCCCTCGTCTTTGCCGTCCGTAGCCTCCCGTCCTGTGGCTCCCGCGAGAGCGCCCTTACGCTTTCCAGATGCGCCTGGAGTCCGACGGGGAAGTCCACCAGTGACATGAGCCGACCCGCGCCGGCCCGGATATCGAACACGTGGTCTGTAAAAGCAGGACACGGGGGTGGTGAGGCGAGTTGCGAACTAGTATAAGACCACGGTGCGACCCGCGTCCATTCTTTGGGCAGGTGGAGGGGGGGGGGCATCTCGTGTCGAGGAGGCAGCAGCCAGCCCTCCTTCCATCACCCACGTCCGCACGCCCCCATTCTGCATTTACCTAAACCCTACTTGTGCCCGGGGGAGGCGGCGCCGCCCGCCGCCTTTGACGCCCTCCACTCAAGCTGCCTGACGGAATTTCCGACGAGGCGTGGGAGTCTGGACCTGGAGCACACTAAGGGTGGGCTTTTTGGACAGGCAGGATGAGAGCGGGGCTGAGCCGTGAGCCCGCCCCCTCGGCGCGCCGCCTCTGCCCGGGGGCGGAGGGGGGGTCGGGGCGGCAGGCG